CACCCCGCCGTTCCCTCGCCCTGGCAGAGCTGAATCACCAGGGCCCGGTTCAGAATGCTGTCAGACCCAGCACGTTGCCGGGAGGACCTGAAGGGTCATCTCGTTGTCTGTTTTCGGCGAGGACCGCACACTGTCATGGGAGGGATGTGATCCACGGCAGGGTTGTCTCTGGGGCCAGGGTTAACTGCTTCCGTCTGTCCTGCCGGCCGGAAAGCCAAGGAACCAGACTTCAGTTAGTTCAGTCAGGCTCAGTCGTAGGGCCAGGACCCAAGATGTGGCTGCAGGCCAGTGACCCAGGCTCCTGTCTCTCCCCTCTGAAGACCTGGGGGTCAGTTCTCAGGTAACACTGGGCCTGCACGTTTGAGGCCGAGTCCCCCAGAGGGTAAGGACAGCTAGATCTCGATGGCTCTCAGCTGCCTGAGGCCGTGACTCTGCAGATGGCATGTTTCAGGAATGTAAAGACAGCCGGAGGAAGGGGGGCCGAGTCCCCAGCCCATGCTCTGCCTGACCGTCACTGCTGTGGGGGACGGGGGAACGCAGACCGCGGCTCTGCCCCGTTTCTCCCTTGCTCTGTGCCCATGGGAGAGTCCCCGAACCTCTGAGCACCACGTTCTCGTCACTAAACGAGGTGTCGGCTGGTCGGGAGAGGTGCTGCATGGGTCCCAGTTCGTAGCAGGTGGATCCCATTAAATAATCCGCTTCCTCCCGCCTCCTGCCCCCTCTGCAGGAAGTGAGGACAAAGTCAGGGCCTTTGATAAAACTTGCTCCTTTCCCTCCGCCTGCACCCTGGCCTCGTGTGGCTCTAAGCAGAGGGCAGTGTGCGAGACGGCGCAGAGCTTCACCAGCCCGCCCCTCGTCCTGTCGGCAGCATCTCTTTTAAAAACACACGAACACTTCACGGAACATCAGAAGACATTAAAAACCACGATCACACTTCAAAACGAACAACAGTTCTTTAGTATCAGCCAATACCCAAACACCCTCGGTGGCCTTTGTGCCACTGGAGTGGCTGAACAAGGACCCCAACGAGGTTACACGTTCTTTGCTGTCATTAAATTCTTATGAGGTTGAGAAACACTAGCCATTAACTAGTGCTATTTCTGCAATCGATTGGGCTCCAGCTAAGAAAAAGCACTTCTTGCAAATGCACGTAATGGGACCCCTAGAGACAGAGGGTCCAGTCGGGGGACATAGTCACACGTCCCATCCCATGGAGCAGTCTGATAGAGTGCGTGTGGCAGGCGTCCATTGTCACAAACGCGTGACCTGGGGGGTTTGCCCTCTCGTCTACCCTTCGAGCCCCCTTACTGACTGCAGACGGCCTCCCACGGAGTCCCCACGGCCTTGCCTGTGTCACATCGTGTCCACGAAGCTCCCCCTGCGTCCAGCGCACGGCGCCCACGCTGGGAGCGGCTGGGGCACAGTCCCCTCTGTCCTCTCAGCTCCCAGGAATGAGGGGCCCCCGTCCTCTTCACCTGCAGCCACCCCACCCCCGAGGCTGAGAGGGTGTCCCCAAGTCCCCACCCAGGTCCGAGGACCACACAAAATGGGGTCACACCAAGGTGGGTCGAGGGTCTCTGAACCCCCTGATCAGCAGGCTGTCTGCTCTTGGTCGTCTTCTGTCGCACGTATGTGTAGAGCACAGACGTTCGACACGAGCCGAAGGCTGCATGAACGTGGACGAGGCGCTGGGTGGCGTCTAGGGTGCTAGCGGGAACCCTGGCCTCACTCACCAGCCGAGGGTGAGTCACGCCAGCCGCCCTCTCCAGCCCCGTGATCGAGCCCGCAAAAGCTGACGGGTCAGTGAATGACCCTCTGCACACCCCCAGCCCCGCTGCCATACTGTTCCCTTCTGGAGGCCATGTATTTTGGGGAAAGATGGCATTTTTCTCCCAACTTTGCATCTCATCCCACATCCTCTGGGAAAGCCAGGGAACTGAGGCTGGAAGCAGCAATCAGTGAAAACGGCTTCCGGCCGCGTGACCCTGCGTGGGGGCTGTGCAGTCACAGTGACTGCGAGTTCCCGCTGCAGTGAGGGCACGTGGCCCCAGACCGGGCCGGGACCGGGCCTTCGCTGCAGCCTGTCCGGCGCACTCGGACCGTGGGATGCGTGTGTCATCCGCACAGCTGGTGCCCGCATGTCTTTGGTCTCACCCTGACCACGGTGTCACCGGCTCACGTCCCTTCTCACCTCAGTTCACCTTCGGCCAGGTTTTCATGCTATTTGATGTTATCTCACTTAGTTCTGATCTCCGCCCTGCAAGGGGGGGCATTATCACCAGCAAAGTGGCACCAATGAGCTCTGTGTCCGGCCCGGGGCGCGATAGCACCCCTGCGTCCCTGCGTCCCTGGGTCCCCGGGTGCTGTCCTTGGGTCGAGGGTTCGTTCCACCATTGTAGCTGCACCCCAGCAGGCGATGCATACGGGTCTTTACGGACGGAAGCGACTCGAGGCCAAAAACTGCCTTCGTAATTTTGTGAAACCCGACTCTCTAGGGCAGGCCCGACGCAGTGCTTGCTGTGAGTCTGGTGGGTGAGCGAACGTGGAGACGAGCACATGAGCCAGCAAGTAGAAAACAGACGTTTCGAGAATAACGGGTGCTGTTACAGGAGGTCGGACAGGAGAAAAGAGGGTTTGAAATCTAATTCTGTCCTCAGGCCAGAAAACAGCCCTCGTGTTGCTCCTCGTCACGTCGTCACTTTGCTCAGCAGCAGACCCTTTTACTAATTAGGCGAGAATGAGCGCTGCCCAGGCGTCCTGACTGTGGGAGGCCTGGTGTTTGTATCTGTTGCCTGGGCTGGCGCGCGCGGACACACCGTGTCCCGGAACCGCCGTGTCGTTAGGTGGCGTGATGCGGGCCGACATTAATTAGGTCTCTCTCCTCCTGCCCGCCGCAGCGCCTGCATCTCCGCCGTCATTTCCTCCTTTCGTAATCTGTAGCGCGAGCTGAGCGGCTGGACACTGACCGTGGTCCCCTCTGAGCAGGGCGGCACAGGGGCACCCCAGGCCCTCCGCCTCCGGAACCCAAGACAAATGTCCACTTCCGTCTTCCTCAACTTGGGGACCATGTTCCCACACTATTCGTCGTCCAGCTTCCAAACCGAATCACCAAGATCCAGAAATCCTGCCAACAGTCTTTGAATGAGACAGGGAACTGAAGGTCAAAGGGGACTAGACCGCTTCTGTCCGGTCTGCCTTGTCCCTTCGTCACCCCTACTGATCCCCTCCCCCCCCCCCCCCCCCCCCGTGACCTGCCCTGAGTGATGAGCATGTCAGGCCAGGCCACGGAAGCATGGGAAATAGCTCGGCTTCCATGGGAACCCTTATGCACGGGGACGCCAGTGCTTGGAAAAATAGTACTTTTTTTTAGATTTTCATTTTTAAATAGCACAGGGCGGGGGGTGTGACAGCAGAGCCCTGGGCTCTGCTGGTGGCAGCGAGGCCTCGGGGTTCACGGTCTGTGCCATCCTGTGGCAGGTGTCCCCAGCAGCCAGCTCTGTGCCTTCGGAACGAGCTGCATCATCCTCCGGTGGAGAGGAGCTCATTCTGTGTGTCAGACAGATCTTTCTGACTCGTCCTGTTCCGTTGCACCCATCCCATCCTGTTCTATACATTGACCCGTGCAGTAAACGTTTACTAAGCAGCACCCATGTGCTGTGATGAGGATCAGTGGACAGATGCAACGGAGCAGTCACGAGAACGCGTAACATTACAGAGCGCGATTCCATGCCACGCGCACCCTCAGCACTGACCGCTAACCGATACGTGTGTGTTGATGAGCTGGCCACAGAAAATCCTGAAGCATGTTGAGTGCCTAAGACAGGGCGCCCCCTCTTCACAGCGAGGGCACCTCGTTTGTGTTTCATACCAGATCTGCTGTGGGCTGGGTGCCGTACGGGCCTTCCTTCGCCACCCCCACGCCCCTCGCGTGCACCTGCCCCTCTGCTCCTCCTCGTCCACCTTTGCCTCCTCCGAGAAGCCCCCGGCCCAGTGTCTCGCCACCTTCTGGACACCGCGCCCTGGACGGCTGCGGGAGGTTGTCTAGCAGTTTGAGACGTCGGTACGCTCGTGCGTGCCGGCCGTTGGCCGGGAACCGACAGCACAGCAGACGTGGTCACTGGCTAAGTCGGCGACGATGAGTGAAACTGAGGACACACACCTCCTCCCTGTCTGCGTTACTTCACGTCCCCTTCCTGTCCACCAGGCCATCACGCTCACGTGTCCCTCTGCCTCTCACGAAAGCCGAGGGCTCAGACGGAGCAAAAGAGAAAAAGGGAACAGAGTGGAGAGAGGAGAAACAAGGCAAAACCCTGGAGAAGCAGCGGCGCTGAAGGCCGAGCGCGCGGGACCGGGTCCAGAGCGGCCGTTCTCCGAACGAGGCCGAGTCGGCCGTCAGGTCAGGGCCGAGGCAGGGACAGGTGCCCCTTCTGCATGGGGACGTGGGGGCGTCTGCGCCGGCAGGGCCCGTGTGTGGATGACGCTCTTGCAGAGCAGATGGGGTGTTGGGGCCCGAGCTCCTGGCTGAAGCGCCACACGGCAGGCGGGGCGGGACCACGTGTGCCGGGATGTCGAGCTTATGGGCCCCAACTTCTGGGCAGACAAACGAGCAAGAAACTAAACGGATAATCCGAGCGACTCGCAGAGCGAGCCTGGCAGAGCCCGAGACAGAGTCTCGGGTTTTATTTCTGCTCCCTCCACTGGGAGCTCGTTCCAGCCCCGGTGCTGCCCTCACTGAGCCCCGTCTGCCATGACATGGCCCCAGGTGGCCTCGGCCACAGAGAGCGTTCTGGGGGAAGGACAGGCGCAGAAGGAAATGAGAAGACAGTAACTAAGTCACAGTTTTAATGTCACACTGGTGCTTGTGAGGGGAGCTGTGCTGTGGGCGCTGAGGCGGATGTGTGCATCGCACACTTTCTCGGCTGCCCCGCACCCATAGTCACACGTCCCACGCGTGCCGCACACACCCGTGGCCTGTCTCCGTGAGAACGGACGAGGGCCGCCGTGGATTCCCACCTCGGCTCCGTCAGGTTTCGGCCAGAGTGGTCGGGGGAGGCCCTTGGAAGTCATGTTTACGGGGCCCAGAACCGAGACGCGTCTGGCTCGCGTGGGCGGTGTGTCCGGGTGTCGTGGTGTTGCCATGCCCTGTGCTTTACACGGGAGATCAAAGGAGCTTAAGGCTCAGCCCCCCGAACGGGTTCCCGAGTCCAGCTTGGAACACAGACACACACGTCAGCGGCCGTCACGCAGCACGGTGACTGTTCTATGAGCATGCGTGACATGCCAGGGTGACCGCGACAGGATACTTTGGCTCTCCCCAGGGTACAGCGGCTTGTCCTGTGGAGTCATGCTTGGGATTTGCTTGGTGCTCCTTGAGCTCAGACTCGGGGTGAAGCCGTGGGCGACTTGGAGTCCAGTCCTGAAGCCGGGCCCCCTGCCCCGACTGCACGTGCCACAGGAAATGCCGCCGGTGGGGGCCAGTGCAGCGTGGCCGACACAGCCACTCGCAGCCGCTGCTTGTCCCTGACGGCTCAGTGCACAGGGGCGTGGGCAGGGGCCCGGGGACTGACCAAAGCCACGTGCACGAGTAGCACTTTCTGGGGGAGCACATCACCCAGCAGCGTGATTTAGCTTCGTAGCTAGAAGTGGCTGAAGGGCATGTTGGGCTGAGCCTGTCATGTGACAGATGAGGGGACAGGCCTGGCAGTAAGAGTCGAGGATTTTTTCCAGTGTTAGACGTGTAATTAAGGGCAAAGCAGGGACCGGAGCCCTCAGAAGTCTGGTGGGCAGCGCAGCGCAGCGCATGGCCCTGCCAGCGAACTCCAGAGTCAGCCGGCTTAGCTCTGGTCCCTGCCCCCACCCCCTGCTGGCTTCTCAAGTGAGTTGTGCAAACTGTCACTCAGTTTCTTCCATAAAGTGGGGCTGATACTGCAGGATCTGCCATGTGAAACATGAACAGCGCTCGTAAAGCAGTAATCCGGGTTAGGATGCGATCGTGCACACTAGCCAGGGACGCAGTAAGAACGCAGCGGTGGGAACTATTGGAACAGGCGTCCCCGTTTGTGTGAGCACGTGCCTTCTGCCGCAGAGGAAATGGGCTTTCGTTCACTTCCGTCTCTCTGGCACACAGAGGAGCTTCTTCCTCAGGCCTGCTGCTCACGCGTCCCTTTCCCCTCCGCCTCCTTTCAGGGCCAAGGAGATCAAGACCAAGTTGGGACTTCTCCTCCAGAAGCCGGAGGCCGCTGTCGACCTTGTCGCTCCGTGCAGTGAGAAGCCGGCCAAGACCCAAAAGTGAGTGCTCAGGTGGCTTTGAGCTCTGTCCTCCGGCCGGGGCCGGCCCCAGCGCACCCGCCACCCCTCCCTACAGACCCCCGAGCACGCGCTGGCGGTCCTCACAGCCTGCCCGGGCTGGCTATGAGTGAGCATGTTTCTGGACCCCTGCGTCTGGAGCACGATGCTGTGCCCGGCAAGACCTGGCTGGAGAGACAGACCAAAGCTTATAAAATGCCACCGGCCCCCTCATCCCCGTCCGCATCGATCCCACATGTGGTGGGAGATGCCCGTCCACTCGTTGCCCTGTGGCCAGGTGGCCATTAACACTGGCCCCCTCTGCTGGGACTCTCGGGGCTGCTTCCCCAGCAGGGAGGGGCCGACATCGAGACAAACCACCAAGCCTTGGTCGTCCCTCCCAGGCCCAGCAGGGGACGGAAGACTGTCCCTTGGTGGTGTAAACCCATGAGCAGCTCTTTCTCTTGAATACACATATGGGCAATTTCCCCCAGTCCGTGGATCAGCATCTGGCCAGGCCGCAGCCCTCCCTCTCATCCCCACACGTGCACGCACATGCACACACGCATACGTGTGCACACGCACACGTGCACTCGCACATACACATGCGCGTGCACACACACACACGCACATTGGCTCAGGCATAGCAGATGCAGCATCTGGCTAGGCCTGCAGCCCTCCCTCCCGTCCCCACGTACGCACACACATGCACACATGCATGCACACATACACATGCACATGCACCCACCCACTCTGGCTCAGGGCAGCTCACGGCCTCAGCCCTGCTGCCCACGGGGCCTGTCATCGCTGGGACGTTGATGTGCCTCGTCCCCTTACAGATGAGGTGCTGGAGACAGCAAGAGAGGAAATGGGGGAGAAGGCAAGCCACGTGCACTCAGATCCCTGCTCCCTGCGAGCTTCGAGACCGCGGACCTGCGGTCAATCGCAGGACGCCCTCCAGCCTCCGTTCTTTTTAAACGATTTGTGTGAATCGGCCGGTCTTTCCGGCCTAATGGCCTCCAGTGTAACACAGCTGGGTTGGGACACAGACGGTCCTTCCTCTTCACTCTCTCTCCATCAGCCGAAGTGGGTATTGCCATTGTCCCCCTTTCCTGATGTCAGGGCGAGCCCCGGGTGGAACCAAAGTGTCACTGAGTTCCCGCCTCCAGAAGCAGGGCTGGTTCAGTGTGCAGCGTGGGGGGCGGCCAGGGCAGGGGGGTGGCCCCGGGGGAGAAGTGCCACAGTCTGCAGTAGCCACTGATCAAAAAGTCCGTTTCGAAGTGAACGACGTGACACTTATGGTCTGCTGTCATGCACACAGGACCACACGCCCCACCCCGATCCTCTGCCTTGTCACCCCACGCAGACGCCTGAGCGGTCTGGGCTTCAGAGAGCAGCAGTCTGGGGAGAGCACCTGGGCTGACGTTTCCTGGGCTGTTTCTTTCGCCTCCCATCCCCTCCTTTCCCAGACGTTTTGTAAACATCTCCCCGCCCCCCAGAGACGTCTCTGTGGCATCTCAGCCTTCGGGCTCTTCCCACCCCCGCCCCCAGCAAGTCCCCAACCTCCCGCCCACAGGAGGGGACGTTCTGCAGGGGCCACGCTCTTGCTTCGCCCCACTTTAAAACTCGGCCGTGCCTGCCTTGTACTCACGTTCTCCTCTCAGAGAAGAAAACAAACCTCAGAAGATAAAATAAACCTTCTCCGGACAGAATGTATTTTTACACTCTCTGCTTTTTAAAAAAAGCAATCCCTTTTCAGAAAAGCATTTTCTATTTTTGAAAACACATTTTTATTCTCATTAGGAAAAAAAATTAAACCATTGAAAAAAATAAAAAATAGACAAAAAGACACCTAGATAGATCCCTGTCCCCCAAGACAGCATCTGCTGCGGCCTTTGGCAAGGCCAGCTATCCTTCCCCTCCAGAGCCGCATCCACTGGCACAAATGGCTGCCCACATTCCGCGCTGACAAGTGTCCTCCCAGCCCCTCTCCCTTCTACCGAAATCCAGGCTGTAGGAACTCGCCGTGGCTCGCGGTCAACTTAGTTTAGATTCTAGACGTTCCTCTCCTCCCTGCCCACGTCACTAATCTGTAACTCCATCTTCTGTTCTTGATTCACCACTTTGTCACTCTAGAAGGAGCTCCACACCCAGATGGTGGCTGGCCGTGCTCAGGTACAGTGTCACCGGCCTGGGACCAGGGGCCTGCAGAGTGAGCACTGCTGTGAGGGTTAAAGGTGCCGGCACAAAGTTTGGCCCATAGACGTCAGGAAGCTCTCTCTGCCCGGGTTGCTGTGGCCGTGGGTGTGGGCAGGAGACAGGTCGTGGGCAGGTCACATTGCAGGAGGAGGCGGGCAGCGGGGCTGTGGGTACCGTGCCCCTGAGTCATGTGACTCCCGTTCCCCGCGTTGGGACCGAGAGCACGTGAGGCCGTTCCCAGGGGAGTTTAGATGTGGGTGCCGGGGACTGTAGATTAGAAAAGCAAGGGAAGGCAGTCCACGGGCTTGGATGAATTAACAGACTCCCATGGCTGCAGCCAGTAAGTGTCAGGGTTGCCCGTAGCTGTGGAGGTGGATCCTGGGGCTGACCATTTTAAACCTGAGTTTGAGTTATTTGTGGCTTTCAGCAGCCAGACTCCCTGTGGGCAAACAGAAGCGTTGCGAGCGCCCACATCACGTCGACGCACCTGTGCAGGGTGGACGGGGGCCACAGGCTGTGCCGGGTGGGTGGGCGAGGGACTCAACGGGCACAGCACAGGGAGCGGTCACTTCCTGGTGCAGATGGCTCACAGTCAGCCACCTCTGCCGTGTTTACTCCT